CGCAAATACACCCGCCCAGACGAAATTGCTACAGAATATGAACATTTACATCCGGCATTGATTCGCGAATATTACAACAACAGAGTTGTGAAAAAATACAAAAAGCGTAAACCACAAAAGTCGCCCAATGAAACTATCGAAAAATGGTCAAAAAAACACAAACACGAGACGGGACTTGATCGGTCTATTGGCAAATATCTGCAAGCACCCAAAAAAGTTATGAAAGACATTTCTGAATTCCGCGTAAAAAAGTCACCAGACAATGAGATTATTCCAAATTTTGAGGATGTTTCCAAAAAAACAGAGGGCATAGAAGCCATAGATGAACAATCTACTCCAACGAAAAAAATACTAAAATCCCGCATTGTCACGTCTCCGGGAGTAAAATGCGTAAAAAAACACTATCCAGCTCCATTAGTTTCTTGCTTAACTGCAATCAAATGTAACTTTCAATCATATGTTGTGTATAATAAAGTAACGCGCAAAAATTTGATAAATCCCAGAAAACTAATTGACAACGATCACATCGACAAATCATTCTTAATTTTAGCATCCTAATTTCCTGACGTGGACGGACTTCAAAGTGCTACAGCTTATGCCGAGTGTGCCGGACCGGCTTACACACCTCGGCAATCATTCGTGCTGATCCTCCATGTCCACACAAGCAGTAAAATGACTTGGCATTGGGTCGCTGTCTCTAATATATTTTGCGACGAGCCGGATACAGTATATGTTCATGACAGTTTACTCTCTGAAAACGCCTATGATTCAATCGATAAATACAACATTTCAAAATTACTTCGACCAAATGGCAGTAAAATCTGTGTGAGATTTCCGGAAGTTCAGTCCCAAACATCTGGCCCACATTGTGGCGCATTCGCGTTAGCTTTTTGCATAGCTCTTTGCTTTGGAGATAACCCGGATACAATACGTGTGTGCAAACAAAGCCTCCGCAGCGACATTGATCGACGACAATAAATTTTTTCGTAATAAGGTTCACGCAAAACCGTTTTCGCCAGTGACGTTTAATATCACTATCTTTTGTCATTGTAAACTCGCGTATTCAAACAATAAACTCATGGTTCAGTGCACGTCTTGCCATGGTTGGTACCATGAAGAATGCGTTCCAGTGGGTATTCCAAGTGAAGCAATATCAAATTTAGACAAGTCTTGGCGCTGCGATATATGTCCTTTGAAGGGGAAGATTTGCGGATGAAATTTTTTGCTCTATACTGGAGTCTAGTCTAATTCACCCTTTCTCAAAACATTCATCGACAGATCCTGCCATCCCTAATAAAATAAAATGACAGTTGATTTTGACAAATGATTAAGCTTCATTAGCATTAGTCATCGTTTATATCGTGTCAAATTATATCCTCCATATCGTAATTTGAACCAGCGCTAGAGGTTCGGAGAAAATTTACAATCAATTTCGACTCCGGGCTCTAAGTTGAAAAATTTTGGACTCCAACTACAGTTTGCGACGACTTCTAATGAATGGAATTTCTGACTTCAGGCTGTGAACTGAACAAAATGCTTTAAATTTCGACTAGGTCATTTGGTAGAAAAAAAATCAAATTTGACTACGATCATTACCATGGAAAGTTTGAAATTCCGACTCCCAACTCATTTAAAAATTATCCGATAAAAATCATCAAATAACCCAAACTTGGACACCGTATCCCTAATATAAACAATATTCTATTTTTATCTCACTAATATATAATTAATTTAACAGTTTACAGTGTTGTAACGAATAAGTTGCTTGTTTTTAGATTCAAGGTTTACAAAAATGCAAAGTCATTGTTTTTGCTATGATAAGAATATAATTAGGATTAGGCCATAATTTTATTCCAATTTTCCTTATTTAGTTCTATTTCGAGTTCGGAGTCTAGCCAAGTGACTCCCGTAGTATTTGTACCTGAAATTATGGCCTAACCCAAACCTGGTACACATACTACGTTCCGATGTCCGCCAACTTGGTTCAGACACTTCTGTAGTACCGTTTTTTTGATACCCCGTGGTAAATTGGTACTTTGTCGGGCCTCCAACTAGGTCATTTTATCTACCGAATGTAGAAGTTATTTTAAACCAAGAATAATGTGATGCAAATATTTACATGCATGAAGAAAAAATGTACAGGTAATAGTGGTAAGTTGATATTCTGAAATTTTTCTGTTCGAGCTGAAAAAGAATCTCAGTAGAATCACTGTTGTAATACAGCAAGGTAAGTAATTTAAAAAAATCATTTTCAAGTATTTCGAAAATCGTTTTTAATTCGTTTGTCATTTTTCTAGTTCCCGCGGATACAGGAAGTCGTGACAAAACAAATTATTGAATGAAAATCATTAGATGAATCATCTATGAAAGCAGCATCCGTTTAGCAAACATGTAAATGTCTTTTTAAGCGAAACCTTTTTGGAAAGAATTCTAGTAAACCTGTGTATACATGATTTCAACGCAATCGATGTAGATCAATACAATTTCTATATTTCCCAGGGCTCCTTCATATAGTCTTGTAAATTTCATTAGCATTTTCAAAAAATTATTTCCGACCATTTCGAATTTTTTTTTGTAAATCGTCATAAATATATACAACTTATAAATATATTGGCATCATTGTGGTTCTCATGGATACAGAGTCGTGACGAAATGGATGAGGAATATCAGAAGGATCACTTTCTATGAAAAGCATCATCTGTTTTGCAGGTATGTAATGTACGCCACTGTGTATACATGTTTCCAAAACAATTATTACACATGAATGCAATTTATATCTTCCCAGGCCTTTATAAATTCTTGTATTTTTCATTAGCAAATGTGTTCAAAACAAAAGACCTAGTTTATTTTTTACTTTTGTCATATAACTCGAATTAACCATGCATTATTCAGTAACAAGCTTACTAGACGCCTATGAAATTGTCATCTTAAGTTTAACAACATTTTTACTTGAATATTCGACTCAATTATATAATTTCGTTGCAGGTCGATTTTGTACAGAACGTGAAGACTGGCATTAATCTGCAGCACCCGAAGTTTATTTAAATATTATTCTACCAGTTTGCAGTCTCGCAGTTCGGCAGAGAGGGAAACTATCGTGTTGATAACGAAAATTAATTGGATATCAAAAATTTCTTTGAATTCGATTGTTATGAGCTTTAATCATGGGTGCCGCTGCTCGATCACCAGTCTTGGTGTCTCGCGCCTCCCTTCACCCTAAAGTACCATATTTCCTATTTCATGTATTGTGTATTCACATTGTGTGCTTTAGAATGGTGAAAAAATAAATTACTGATTACTGATTAATATGTCAAATTTTTGTTGGTGAGAAAAAGGAGATTTACGGTAAGAGGGAGCTGGGTGATGTCAAAGCTCAAAATTTCGGATTCATATATTTAATAGCAATGCTTACATTTTGTGTATTTCGCAAAGTATTTTGCAGTAACGAAATGAATTGTTTGTCAGGTCTCATATCCAACCAGGACGTTTCATCGGACCACCAGTTCAGGTGTTGTCACATTTTTATTTTATTTCGTTAGTTAATAAGGGATCCTATGATATAATTAAAATGATGATCTTGACCAATGTGTTGAAATTTGTAATGACCATCAATGACAATTTTTAATTAGTATTTTTATATCATTAGTGATTCCAATATTTTGCTGTTTTGACATCTGCGCCGTATATACGACAACATTTGACATATCAGACGTAATTTCTTTTACTTGGCGATGGCCGGAATGTTCAAGCCGTTTCTTTTAGTGCAGTTTTGTCAATTTCAATGGGCTCTATACCGATTTTTAATTATTGAATGCATTCTGCGTTATGATATGCAAATAGTTATTTTGTTTTACTACGCCCTATCAACGTTAGTAATGATTTTCTGCTTCTACAATACATCCTTTGCGCGTCGAGTACCGTACGGTACCGGTATGCCTTCCGACATATAGGTACGTTTTCTTGTCACTTTGTTACCATTTGCACAGTAGGTATTGTAACTAAACACATTTAATTTAATATATTTATCCTTACTATTGAAGTTGTTAGTATAAACAGACACCTTTCCATCTCCCATTACAAAAAGAGCCTCCACACAGTTGCAGGCTAACCCGTTAACCGCCGTCGCATGGCGAGTGGTCCATGGCGAGTCAGCCTTCATGGCGAGTTAGCCTCCACCCACTCCAATTTCGTCTGTAGACTGTATTTGTATTTATACAACATGATCAAAATAAGCCACTTATACAAATACCAATGCTTTCTAGAGCATATTTATGTATTTTCCCCAACATTTGAGCACTAAAAAAATATCAAATCACTTATACAAATAAAAATGCTTTCTAGAGCATATTTATGTATTTTTCTCAACATTTGAGCACTAAAAATATTAAAAACGCATTTCTATAGACCTAAAACACCACCGTAGAAAATGCCAAAAGACGGACAACTCACCGGGCCTCTAGGTAGTCGAGTTGTCTCTGGTGAGTTGTCCGTGTAGTCGAGTTGTCCGTCAGCCCTCAGTGGTACCGGTACCTTTGGTGAAATATCAGGGTTGCAGCTTGCAGGGGCATCTGGTAGGCTGGGCATTGTTCCGGCTGGGGTTCAGTGAAGTGAACGCCGTACCGGTAACTGCTCAAACAATGCCAAACTAAAATGTGACATGCCATTTTAATGTAATTAACACAAAAGTTTGTGCCGTTACAGCGTTATGACGAAGAAAGAAAATCATGAAACACGCCTTTATTTCAAATCAAGCCTCGCAGCCTACCGGTACTCAATTTTCAACTAGGCAGGTGGGCCCGTGCCGTTTAGGGTAATGATGTGTTTGTGCAAGACAAACTTTTATATTTTTTCATTTTTAGTAGATATTTGGGTTGTATTTTCACATCACATTTTTGTTTAGCATGATTTATGCAGTTGCGGCTGTACAGCGTTTAATTTACTAGACTCTTGTTCAGTTGTCTGGTTGTTGGAATCGAGAACTAATTTATAGCTCCATAATCAATAATATTTTTTAACTACAGTTTGGTAAAATAATTTAGACATAGATTCTTCACAGTTCCTTTTTCAGTCAAAATTATATTGTTCCCATTCAACTTATCAATTTACCAAAGTTCAAAATGATGAATTTCCTGGGTAATGAGCTTGAATCGTGCAGCGAAAGCACAGCCGCAGCAGTTTGCGACGCCACTGGTCGTGTTCCGAGTAACGGACAGCAATTTCATAATGATGTGCACTCGAAAGAAGCATTTTCTTTGATGAATCAGCTCCGCAAAAATCGGGTTATGTGTGATGTTCTTCTTGTTGCCGAGGGAGCAGAAGTCCCAGTTCATAAACTAATAATGGCTTCAGTTTCTCCCTATTTTATGGCTATGTTTGGTGGAAAAATGTCTGAGTGTCGAGCGGATCGTGTAAAATTAAACGGAATAAACGGTGATGCTTTGAAAGAGCTTGTGGAATATGTCTACACTGCTCAAATTGAAATTACAGAAGAAAACGTTCAGAATCTCCTTCCTGCTGCAAGTTTATTGGAACTAACCTACGTTCGAGAGTCATGTTGTTTCTTTCTCCAATCACAATTACACCCCACAAATTGTCTTGGAATTCGTCAGTTTGCGGATATCCATGCTTGTACTGATCTACATGATCAAGCAAAGTCGTTCACAGAACAACATTTCACTGATGTCGTACACGGTCAGTTGATAGTGGAAAGTGTTTGGTAGGAGTCGGGAGTCATTCTCCAAGTAGAACAGTGGTTCTCAAACGATGAACAGTGATTCTCATGATGTAGTGCATCCCATAAGGGGGTTGGTCGTAGACAATTTTTGAGGGGAAGTGGATCTAAATAAAAATATTTGTTAGATTTGATCTTGCAGGCCTTATTTCAGAGAATTCAGAATGGAAATCGCGCATTCTTTCCAAATCTTGATAAAGCATGCGAAAACATACTAAAAACGTTTCATTTATTTCATTTTTTACGCTCCATCCACTTATTTTCAACATGTTTTTGTGAATAAAGCATACTTTCTTCTTACTATCTTTTATTTGCAGCTAAATGTTAGCTAGTTATTTTTGAGGTGGGGTGCGGGACTTGACAAAAGGGGGGCACGGCTTAAAATGTTTGAGAACCACTGTTATTAAATATACTTAATCTCAGATGGATTTTGATGTTTGATTTCTTTTAGGCCTTCCTGATAAATTGTTTTTGAATTCACAGGTGAAGAGTTTCACAATTTGTCTTGCGAACAAGTATGCGATCTCATCAACAGCGATCGTTTGTCCGTGGCGTCAGAGGAAAAAGTCTTCGAAGCTGTCATAAGCTGGGTTAAGAGTGGAATTGGAGACAGGTTAGTTGAAATTAGTTTAGGTTTTCTTAGCTATTGTTAGCCATGATGACGAATATAGCTTACCATTCCTAATTCATTCTAAAACATTAATTTTGAATATTGAATATAATCTGAATTAGTTTATGTTTGATGTGCAGGCACTTTTATTTTTTTTTATACCACACATATTCATGACTTTCACCTCAAACAAGGTCCTATACAAGGAGCCACTGTCATCTAATTAAAAATATTACACCCCAAGTGAGGTGGGGTGCGCCTTAGAATTTTTTGGTCTCGGTCAGATGTTACTTGCTGTAATAAATCTTTTATCAGATTCAAAAATATATTTTATTGAACGCGTAAATATCCGCTTCGACCAGTGGTTCTCAACCTTTCTTCTTTCGTGGCCCATTTTTGTAGCACAAATATTTCGTGGCCCATTAAATTTTATTACGCAAAAGATAAAATACAAATAAATACTTTCACTTTACTAATCAGAATGAAAATTACCCCTCAGTAGCGAAATACAGCATCAGCATTCATTGCTGCTACAATCAAAATTTAACTATAGTGACGCAAATGAAACGGTATTTATCAATAACACTAGCAGTTTTTAACGGGTTTGTGCCCCACTTGGAAATGTTGCTATGGCCCTGCAGTGGGCCATGAACCACTGTTTGAGAACCAGTTTAGACATTTCAGCTAGAGAGTAATATTATCTGCAGATTCATTCACCATATTTTACATTCAAAATATTTTGCAATATATATGCACAATTCCCCAGAGTTAGAGCAATCAATATTTCAATATCTTTACTGGCGTTACTGTCTAGTAATTGATACATTTTGTCTTGTGCTTGTCTCAGGGAAGTCAATAAACTAATAAAATGTCGAGAATGCAATTATATTGGATTTTTAGGCAATTATCAATACATACTTGGCCCATACTTGGTATGTAATTGGTGGAGTATTGTTTATTTCAGGTATCAGGTATTTGAGAGTGGAAATGTTGGTATTATTCCCAAATTTCAGTATTGTAGCTTTCAAACATTTCAAATTTCAATAAGTTGTTCCAAATGAGGTAAAAAATAAAGGGATGTGCAATATTTCAGATATATTTGATATTTCATACCCAGGAAATAAAATATCAGAATGTATTTGTAATAGAAAAGCAATGGCTTCGACCAATCCCTGATCCCCTTCTAACAACTAGTTATTTATTCGATATGATTAACACAAATCGGCATCGATCGAGTTTGAGAATAAAATTGCTGAGTTATAGTGTAAAGAGTTAAAGCATCAATATAAGTATTTGAAATCGGTTGGTCAGAAATTATTTATTTTTTATATGTGTGCATAAACAGGTATTATAGTAATTATAAAGAACTAAAAATATTGGTAACACAAATACAATGCAAAATTCCTTCCAATTCGGAAACGTGTGGATCTACAATATTCAGTATTATCAAATTCAATTTCTGTATATGTTTTTATAAATACGTCCCATTGTGAAAAATATTTATTTTTATTTGTCATAAACAGCCACAGATAATAATGCTGTGTGTTCACCATATATGAGTCAAATAAATATTCAAAATGAATGCGTAATTTTATGCTTTATGTTGCCCTCTACTCATATACATCGCATAAACACGGACGATATGGTCCGTGACAGAACCCCTGCCTTGTTCAGAATGAAACTCCACAAGTTTCATTCTAAAGAAAAACCTTCCTCGCATAAATGCTTAAAATCAATGAATAATCTTGTACCTCATGTTACCGTCTACTTATTGACAACTCTTGTCCTAATCTCCGTAAGATCAATAGGTTTCTCAGATATAATCTGGATTAGGGATATGTGAGGTCTCAGTTTTAACGAAATTTAAAATTTAATGTTATTCTTAATTTCTCGTGCAGTAAGTGTACTAAAACTAATAGAATATTTCAAGCTAATTGAATTAGGATACTCCTGTACCAGGTTAGGGGCCTCTTAGGCCATAATTTTATTCTGAATTTCTTTATTTTAATTATATTACGAGTTTGGTGACCCTGTTAGCCAAGTGAATATACCCCCTGCCCATAGGTTTCAGCCTCTTTCACAACTTGATGTAAAGTAGGCGAACAAAATTAGTTACTTCCATATTAGTACACATACTTCTGGAGCGCCGGATTTACGGTAGTTATATTCAACATTTCAATAAATCCTTGATTTTAGAAAGGGATTTAGAATAGTTTTGTTTGAATAATTATCATTCTTAGCAATTGAAGTATACCAATATCACCAAAAGATTTCTGAATAACTGAATAATTACCTCCAAACACTAGTTAAGGAGCGGATATTTCCGTGAGCATAGACTTCCTATTTTATTCCAGTAATAATAACCCATCAGCAATAAATCAACAATGACATAAATAACAATTGAAATTTCTGCTCTGCAGCTGCCCAAACACATCTTTGGCACATCTTGTCATTATGTCTGCTGAGGAATATTAGTTCAGTGGTAATGCTAAAAAATTAGGGTACTTCCGTAGTATGTGAACCAAGATGGCGGACACCGTAACGTGGTATGTTTGCCAGGTTAGGTTTAGGCCATAATTTTAGGTACAAATACTACGAGGGTCACTTTGCTAGTCCCTGAACTCGTAGTAGAAATAAAATAAGGATAATTGGAATAAAATGGGAAGCGTTGCTCAATAAACGAGTTAGCTACTAAACTCATACATACTCATACACATTCAAGATCAATCTTTCATCCCAATTCATTATTATCATTTTCCAGGGCCGAGCTGATGCCTTCATTATTAGAACACGTCCGACTCCCACTACTTTCCCGTGAATTTCTTGTCGAGCGAGTAGAGCAAGAAACACTGATTAAAAACAACAACGCATGCAAGGACTATCTCATAGAAGCAATGAAATACCATCTCTTGAACTCAGATCAACGTGCTCTCATGTCTAACCCGAGGACAAGACCTAGAGTTCCACCAGGTCTGTATTTTGTAAATATTTTTCAATTTGCTCCATATCACAGCTGATAGAGGCACGCACCCAGTGGAAAGTTAGGATAGGATAGGATTTACATATTTATCCCGAGGGAGAGAAAAGCGATAAGACGGCTTAATCATATGGCGAACCACGGCCTCTCGTCCGGTTACCAGTCCACTTCGGGTATGGGATTAGTTAGCCAGGTGTTTGTTTTCGGAAGCATGGACTTGATGGTGGAGGAAGACTTAACCGACCAGCGGTTACGTGAACCACCCTACGGCGGCGAAGAGTCCAGCAATCCTCTCGCACGCGATCATCTCCACATGAGATTCGAACTTGCGATCCCACGAAGGGTAAACAGAGATGCGGGGGCGAGCGTAGCACGATGAGCCACACCGCCAAGCCAGGTTGAATCTCTCCCTTGTTCAAAATGTGAACAAAGCATTTTTCTGTATCATACATAGCAATTTGTCGTAGCTTAAAACTCCCTTCAGACCCTCAAGACTTGAAAACCCACATTTTTACCCTAGCTATAATGCTAGGCGCGGAAGCAGAGCTGATTTTACATTTCTCTTTACAATTGAACACCACATACTTTTTACTTTCACAATGGGATTTGTAATCTACCAATCAAATTATCACTAGAATGATAAACAGAAGGCCATGAGTGCTAAAAGCCTTCGAAAGTGGTTCACAAGCATAAAAGGTTGGGAACCACTGCCCTATCCTATCTAATTTCCCCACCTCTCAAAAAACTAAATTAATGACACTAAATTGTCACAGGTCTCTCAAAAGTTCTCTATGTTGTTGGCGGCCAAGCACCGAAAGCAATAAGATCTGTGGAAAGTTTTGATTACAAGGAGGAAAGCTGGAAGCATGTTGCTGAAATGTCTACAAGAAGGTAAGTTTGCTAAAAATGAAAAGCATTTCAAGGTAAAATAGGTTTTTCATTTGTGATGTTTTAAAAAGAGAATTTATAGATTAAGAAAATAGAGCAATATGTTGATAGTTGTTCAATTTTCCCTATTTCCAAGAACTGGTGCTCTGTGGGAATTTAAAAACGAATAAAAGTAATAGTCTTTCTGGGGGCGATTTCATTTTTAACTGCTTAGATTAGGTTTTGAATTTGCATTTTGAAAAGAGAATTTTATCCAATACAAAAATCACAGGACTGATTTTTTTTAATTGACATTTTGATAATCTTCAAAAATTAGTGGTCAGTACACAAGGGGTCGACAAACATAAGAATGGAGCAATAGTTCTGGATGCGCCAACCAATCAATAATTATTTTTTTGGTATTTTGTTTCTCAAATCTTATTTTGCCCTGGAACCGGAACACCTATGCTTTTTATCTTGCCTCACGAAATACTAAGAAATTAGAAAGCAAATTTTATTGGTGGTTTTTAAAAAATTAAGCTCATGGTAAAATCAAAAAGTTTGTTGTAAAAAAGTAGGCCGCCTGTTTCTATAGCAAGACCAGTCCACCTGTTGGGAGACGAATTTACGACCCAGAGTTGCCGAAGTATGAACTAGATTGTCATGGTGACTAATTTAGTCACAATTCGATCCCTGTTTCACGGAATGCTTCGAGGGAGCTCGCAGAACACAGTTTGTGAATCGCCACTCTAATACTAAGTGTTATACAAGGTGTACATAAACCGCCTATTTCAAATTAAGGACTTTGACGTGCCACATGCGACTAATGACAGGCATATAGAGGTATATTAAATGAAGTTGAAATATTAAATAAACACTGATAAAATAAAGCAAACCTGGTTAAGAATAAGATACATTAAAAACTGATTTTATGATAAAATTGAAATTGTAAAAGAACCTTATGAGCACCATGTGATCTCATAATCAAACAGAGCCGAAGGTCATTTCAAATTTTATAACAGCTCATTAAAAACACTTGTCACTATTATGTTGGGGGCAATAATTCAAAGCGGGTTGTATATGAACATATGACAAGTGTAAATACACCCATACGGTTTGTATTTGTGTGACAATTATCTTGTTGCAAAGCTATTATTTGCGCAATCGATTCATGTGTACGAATATGCTATATTAGCTATCGTAGTCATATTATAAAGATATCCAATATGATATGAAATTAATTATATGCGATTCTTGATTTTAGAAAAAAAATAGGATACTAATGGTATGACCAAAGGGCAACTCCATTTAATTTTGAAACTGTAAAAAAAGTTAACAAATCTTAAACCGAAAACTTATTGAATATACATTGCATGTGACCAAGTTGAGATACTCTGTATTAGAAAATATGACCACCGAGTTAAGTGGAACCTTCTCACTTTCCAATATTGATTGATATTGTGGAAAATTATTCAGTTATTCCATTTCTATCATTCAAAGTTATTCTAGAACAGCGTTTCTTAAACTGTGTTCTGCAGAACATCTGCGGAGCTTTTTCGCAGTGTTCCACCGGACAGGCATCGAAATTGTGACTAAATCGCCGATATTTCACACACATTCTGAACAAATATTCTTAATTGGGGGCAGGTTTGTGGGTGAGAGTTTCCCTGCGCACAAATAAATTAATATGGCAAGACATTTTATTTGTTACAATCGGCCATGGATTGAATATTTCACAACAAAAGAATCATTACTTCCTGAAAAAACAAGCTCATTTAACGAGTGTCGTTTTCACTTGGACTACATCATTGGAAATCCCCCCCCTTCTCTGAAAATCCTGACTGTGCCTGTGTTTGTATTATATGAGTTTGTTTAGGAAACACAAGAAATATGCGGATAAAACAGCGATTTAATTGGTTTAATTTTTACAGATTTGAGAAATCATTGAGTGGGGCTTAAGTCATACCTCATACGGTGCGATTTCAAAAGCCCAAAATGATAATTTTTCAAACTTGTTCCTGAAATCAAGATTTAAAACATTGACTATAATTTTGAATTCATTGAGTTCATTTTGAATATCCCATCGTTATTTGCATCCATAGTTACAACATCATATTAAATTTCAGATGCAGAGCAGGAGTTTCAGTTTACCAAGGCCATATTTGGGCTGTTGGGGGTTTCAATGGCTCTTTGCGAGTTCGTACCGTGGATATATACGACCCAATCAAAGACTGTTGGACCAGTGGACCTCATATGGAAGCGCGCAGATCAACACTAGGGGCCGCTGTTCTAGGCGGTATGCTGTACGCTGTAGGAGGATTCGATGGTTCCACAGGTATTTATTTGTTTGTTTATTTTAGCTATGAACTCCCAAAGTATGTGAACCAAGATGGCGGACACTGGAACGTAGTATGTGTAACAGATTAGGGTTAGGCCATAATTTCAAGTACAAATACTATGAGAGCCACTTGGCTAATCCTTGAACTAAAATAGGGAAAATTGGAATAAATTTATGGCTGAACTGATACACACTATGATGGGTGTCTGCCATCTAGGTTCACGTACGGTACTTCAGGACCGAATGCTCTACACAAGAATTCACCTAAATGTGGAGCACTACATTCCGAAATGATTGAAATTTTCCACATTTGGCTAAGTCTTTTTATGAGACATTTTTACTCTAAATAAGGCTATGGGATAGCAGTAACTGATACTCAAGAAGCTACTGTTTTTTCTTTCTAATAAACACTAAAACTTGAAAAATCGTTCATTGCAATTTCTGTGGTACCCCCTTTTTCTTGGCGCCCTAACCACTTCCTTTTTTTGCCAAATAGTTAATTCAGTATAAGGGGGGCGGGGTAATCGAATCCTAATTGAACCACTTGTCCACTAAACAACATTCTAACATTCTCCACTATCCTTTCGTGTCCGAATCTTGTAATCACCAAAAATATAGGGTGTCCATTTAGTCTTAAAATGTTTTAAAATTGCAAAGAAAATTTATCGATACCATATATTGTTTTCGCTCTCACAGATTTACTAAATGAAGTAAAATTACTTAAACAATTACTGATTAAAATGCAACAAACCTGGTTAAGATAGCCTGAAAACTGACTTCATAACAAAATTGGGGGCTCCCGAAGTTTGCGAACCAAGATTGCGGACATCGGAATGTAATATGTGTACTAGGTTAGGGTTGGGCCATAATTTTAGGTATAAATACTACGGGAGGCTCTTGGCTAGTCTTCGAACTGATAATAGGACTAAAATAAGGAGAATTGGAAAGAAATTATCGCCTAACCCCAACCTGTTACCCATGTTACGTTCCGATGTCCGCCATCTTGGTTCGCATACTTCGGGAGCACCCAAAATTGAAATTGTAAAGAAACTATATTAGAAATTCTGTGCAAACCATTGACAGGATGAATCCCAGGCTATCAAGCTATTAGGCCATCATTAATGTTATTCCTTGACTAAATATTAAAAAAACTTTTTTCAGGTCTCAACTCAACCGAAGTTTTTGATGCGAAATTGAATGAATGGCGAACATGCACTCCCATGAATACTCGACGCAGCAGTGTTGGAGTTGGAGTCGTTGGATTTCTGCTATACGCAGTTGGCGGTTATGACGGGGTCTCTCGTAACTGCCTATCATCAGTTGAATGCTTCAGCCCTCATACAAAGGAATGGGTTTTTGTGGCGGAAATGAGTACACGACGTAGCGGAGCTGGAGTTGGCGTTATTGACGGACTCTTATATGCTGTTGGGGGTCATGATGGCCCTCTTGTAAAAAAGAGTGCGGAAGTGTATAATCCTGCAACAGACCATTGGGAGCCTATTGCTGATATGAATATGTGTCGTCGTAACGCAGGTGTTGCGGCCGTTAACGGACTTTTGTATGTGGTAGGAGGGGACGACGGGTCTTCGAATTTGGTAACAGTCGAGTGTTACAACCCAAAAATGAATGTTTGGTGCCTTTTGCCCACGACTATGAGTACAGGCCGCTCTTATGCTGGTGTGGCCGTAATTGATAAGATGAGTATATGAACATTATATCTTAACTGATAATACTTCATGATGTAATCAAAATAACCTCATTGCAATTTTAAACAGTTGTTTTGAATCTAACATGGCTTCATCCAGGCTGGCAGACACCGTGGCCGTAATCTCGAAATTTAGCGAAAATTTTCTTAACTGGGGGCTGGGTCAACCCAAGGGCAGTTGAAGGCGGGCTGCAATGTTCATCGCAAAACTGATTTTACTTATCCTTTTACAAGCACCCCCCCTTCCCAGTTCTTCCTAGTTTCATTGCTTGAGGGTATTTCACAAGGTGTTTTCATTTTCTTGAGCATGAATTGTTTAAACGTAATGCAATTTGGAATCTACAAATCAGAAAAACAATATAAATACCACTGGAATGATAAACAGGGGAGCCAAGAGTGCTAAAAGCCTCCAAATAGGGACCACAATCCCTAAAAGGTTGAGAGCCACTGTCGTAATTGATGAGATGTATATATGATTATTGTGGAGGTAAAAATATATTATATACCTTTATCTGGAATACTTCATATGTCATCAACAAATTACTATTTGTAATCAAAAGAATCACCTCATCATGATTTTTAAAGGCTGTTCATATCAGACATCGTGGTTGTAGATGATAAGATACGAGTTATAATAAAAATACATCTTTATGCAGAATACTTGTAAGCAATGTTCACTCCAATTTTTGTAGTATGTGTGCGCAGAAATTTTGGTGTCTGCGCACTTTTTTGGAAATGACTTAATATTTGTGCAAAAACCAATGAAGAAATTTTGGCGTTCTAACTAGGTAACGGGTGGGCCGACAACAAACTTTCTCAACCTGCCAACCGAGAACATTGTTACATTACATCGGAATACGTCTGTGCGCAGTAAATCTATGCGTGTGCGCAGCCTCTGAAAGCTGTGTGCGCGCGCACACCTTAGAGGGAACACTGCTTGTAAGCATCCCAAAGTTCCATTTGTGATCCACTTATTTGTGTTCCACTTATTTGTGATTATCAAAAGGCAAATTACTCATTAGGTGTTTGATAGAAAAGTTCATGAAAAATTTTCCTACAAGTTAATGTACAAAGCCAGTCTTGAGCCCCATTGTCGTTGTTGGGACGAGTTTTTTGAAACTGAAAAAATCAATTTTCTCCATAACTAATGAACTGATTTTCAGCCTTTACGAGGAAGCTATTACGTTTACTTTTTTTAAATCTTCTCGAAGTCCTGTAAGATCTATATTTCACTAAAATTTTGCCGTTTTAGTATGCAATGCAACTCGATATTTTTTTTATTTATATCTGATTTGAATCTGTCGTAATCTAAAACATGAAAACCCATCTATCATACTTGAAGAATTCTCAATTTAAAGAATACATGTCCTACAGTGTAACCAAAATTTCTGAAACTATGGAAAATATAGAAACCACCCAAATCACTGTTTATGTTAATTTACCTGCATTTCAGCTCATCGAATATACTTTCATTTTTGCGTACTCTTCATTTGAGCATATTTCGGTTTGAAATGTATATTCGGTATACCACCTTCTGGAATTATTCAGAATAGTAGGCTACATTTTTTTGCATACCACATCTTTATATTATTTTTCATTCTTCAATCAAAACAATTATTTTTATTATTTGACTCCATGCCATATGTTCTGAGCATTCTAATAAAGATTACTCAGGTTTGTGCAGAGCTATGGGAGTTGAATTTAGCATAATTTCTCTGGGATCGGAGGAGTCTGGTATACATAAGTTTCTGAATCAAAGTGGACTTTGTCGGAATTGGAATTTCGGTTTTTTGATGGTGACACTCACAAAAAACAGTGAAATTTGCTGTATAAGTTTCAAAAGCATTAAATTTACTAAGTGTTTTCTAACAGTAGGCTATCAAGAAAGGCTTGCATACACCAAAGTTTTTGTCAGTAAAATTTGATTTACCTGGGAGTCGAAATCTTTTACAACCCGGAGTAAAAGCAAAAAAGTTTTTTTAAACCTGTATTGTACATTTTGAAAGTACCTCATGTCATAATCGAACTTTTCACCAATCTGGAGGTCAGCCGAAGTTAACATTTTTTTAACCCGGTATCAGGAGCCATGGTTAATTTTTTGTCTCAAAGGTTTGGAAACTAGTAGAAATTTTTAGTTCAAACGTTTGCTTCTTAGCTCTATCCCCATTGGAAGAGTTGTGTATACTGAAATTCTATCTGTTTTCAAAATCATGCCGCATACCAAATTTGACCTGAATCCTGATTTCACTGTAATTTTGATTATCTGAATTTTAATAGAGACATTGTTTGAAATAGTATTGACTTTCCTCCAAGGTAAGAAAAAATCCTCAGAATGACAAACCAGGGCTTTTGGTCTGGTTACTAATCCATGTTCCCTTCAAACTAAAATTTCTTAGCATCCCTGGAAAAGAAAATCAAAAACTCTTTTTCTCGTGGGCAAACCACTGTTTCTCCCTTGGTTACTAGTCCATGTCTCCTCTAAACTAGACGTCCCTAGCTTTTTATCGATTATTTCCTCTATCGAGGTAACACCCCAAGGTGTTTTGGATAAATTTTCTTGAATTTCTTTCAAAGTGGCACCCCTCGTTTGAAGAGAGGTGAATTCATTTTGCATGTTTTCTTAATTTTGCCTGTTCCGTGATTTATGTTGGTTATTATCGCATATGTTTCTTCTATTAATTGAAATAAATTTCATTGATATTGTGAGATCTGTATGAACAAACTGGTAACTATTTTGACAATAGTGCTTTCAGGTTTAACTTGAGGAGGAAGGATAGGCTAGGAAGGCTGATAATGCGTATTGGTCACATTCGTACATGAACCTGATGCCGGTGGAAGTAATAACTAACTGCTGGGCATTTCGAATTAAACAGTACATTGTTTAAATTGGCTTAGTCGAAAATTTTAAATCGCCGCCATCTTGTTACTTTTTTGTTCACCAAAGGTTGAGGTGAATCCATCACTTTTTTTGGTGCTCTTGAAGTATGCGCACTAAGATGTCGCATAACCTGAACCCTGACCTGGTACACAACCTGAGTTCAGGTTGTGCACCATCTTGATGCGCATACTTCAGGAGATTCCTTTTTTTATCTGGGCTATATTTTTAAAATGCAATTCTGAAATAATATTTTTTTTTCGAAGCAAATGATTGATTGGTGAAACAGGTTTCTTATTATTGAGCATGATAACAGCGATTCGCAATTCGTCCTCAATATTTAGTATATCATAACAACTAGAGTAATATATTTCTAAGTCATAAGCAGAAAGAGTCTCAATTTCACTACTTTACAACCCGAGCGTGCGACATCTGTGACCATAGTTACTTTTACACAACTGAAATTTTGAGTAAGAAAAGAAATACTGCTTAATGTACAACTGTTTCAGAAGACCTACGACTTACCCTTGAACCAGCCCCACCACACCCAGATTAGGAGACACAGTTATATAATCATGGTGATAATTACTCTGCATGGGCTGGTTGGTGATAATTATGTTCAGCTTGGAAATAATCAGAAAATCCTACTAATTGGATCTTGATTCCAGTTCATTACCTTCAGAAATCATTACCAGTAGTGCAAAAGTGTTTCAATACAGCACTAATTAGTACAGGCAAACATTGAAAAACGGCTAATTCTCAATCTGCAATGTCCCGAACAAACCAAAACAAACAATTCCAGACGTTGTTTCAATATAATGTTCATTTATTTTGAATAAAGCATTGGGAATATGAATAAATACACATTGATATATGCAGCTGTTAAGTCAGTACTTGCCAATTTTATCCTCATATCGAAGACTGACTGAGTTTTTAGGCTTTAGTATTAAACAAATATTAATCATACCCTATTATTTGGAAATATAACAAGATGAACATTACATTTATAAATAACAAATATCATTAAGATAGGCTCAGAGCAGTAAATTAAGTTTCGCTGTTATTGGAGCCAGAGACATTTTTTTAACATTGTTAGAATCTGAAACAGGAATGAATCAATTCAAAATTGATTGTACAGAATAGTTTATCCGACAGATTGAGTATTGAAGCGATGGCCTAAAAGATTCAAAGGTGTAACCAAGGATGGCCAATACCGAATAATTCACGATTTTAAATACTTTAAATTATTATTTTTTAGAATATGAAATACCGAAAATAAAATCAAGTAATTATAGCTTTTCTTGGTGTATGATGTTGCATACCATAAGCAATGGAATAACTTATCTATTTCAGCAACTTGGCTATTGAAATTCAACCAATCAAAACAACATTTATCTCAAATATCCTGCATTGCTATGTATTCATCTATCAATAAATACAATGTTGTGTGGTAATAACAACCAAAGTTTTATATCAAACCTACTTGAAATGCAATTAGGAAATTGGTTGGTATTCTTCAGTTTTGGTCATTCATTGTCCGAATTTTAAAATTGGAACCAAAACACAGATTTATCATAAAGTTTTGCAGCCAAAATTTTGATTTAAAAGCAGAGTCCGGGCCTGAAATTCTATTATTCACCTAGCAGTCATGCTTTGTGAGAATTCAAAAGATGATTTTTTTCAGGATAAAGAGCTGGATAGGATTCACAAGTTAATCCTAACATAGTTTACATCTCAGCATATAAATATAAAGAAGAACAACATTTTCCCTCCCAAAAATGTAACAAGAATAAAAGTGCCACACAATTCACATAATGAAAGAGAATGAAATACAAGTAATCACAAAATGACCTAGAATTGAGGTTGCGAAGCGGAAAAAGAACTCTTAGACATCGAAAACACTGTTTGCTAGTGTGGTATGGTTTCATTTCAGACTGTAGCAGTATTTTTCATGCCAAAGTTGTAGGAAATTGTAATTTCAGAATTCTAATAGCGAGAGTTTAAACTGAAATTTAAAAAAATTACAAATGAAATAAAACAAATTTGTAATTCAATAGGTTTCATTTTGAAATCTAATACTAGAAAACAAAATTATTTTAATCCTAAAAATAACTCAGTGACAGACTCAATTTTCTCGCAGTCAGATTTTGAATGACCAGAACCTCACCAGTTACGATGAAACAGCGCTCCAGAAGTAAGTGTACCAATGTCTACTTCACATTAAGTTGTGTAAAGGGACTGGAACTTATGGACAGGGGGTATATTCAGTTGAATAACACAGACAGTCCCCGAACTCGTAATAGAACTAAAATAAGGAAAATCGGAATCAAATTACGGCCTAACCCTAACCTGGTACTCACATTGCGGGAGTACCCTTAGTTCAACATCTATGGGTATCATCTACCAACAAATCACAGGGCCACTTTGTGTCCAAAAATATCACCTTTACGAGCACAAGACAGTGAAATTTATTAACTACATAAAAATTGAATAAATTTTTATCTAAAGGACGGAAGCTTTGGAAGTTCAATATTTGGAATCTTCAAGTCTTTTGGTAACGTTGGCAAATCGATATTCTTGATCGCTGCTGCTGCCTTCGCCGGTGCTGCTGATAATCCAGCCTGAAAAGAATAATTTTGGGTTGTTAAATGTAAATTACAGAAATTGAACTCAGACTGAGTATATCAGCCCATGCCTATTACAGCAAGGTTTTGGAACCAGGGGCCAGAAATTTTGTCCACCTAGACAGGGTTATGTAAGTGTGATGTAAAAAGTTACATTTTATGAACAATATTACAAAATCAAAATTGGAAAAAGATTAGCCTGGTGCCAAAACTGAATTTGAATTGCAATCCAAACAAATTCCTTGAGTTATTTTTTAGCTAAAACATTGAAATTTGGTTTTAGTTTGATTGTGGAAGCATCAGGCGGGCCAGATTTGGCCCGCGGGCCATAGTTTGCCCATGTCAGTTCTGGAGCAATGGTACTCAAACGATGCTCTTGTCTTGGGAAAGCTTCTATACGAATTCCTCAAGATCTAGTCCAGGGGTTCCCAAGCTTTTTTCAGGACGACCCCAAAGACAACTTTCAAGTGTCCAGTGCGACCCCAGGTCAATATATATATATTTTATGAAACTTTAGAGCTTCTCTCACTGGACTTTTGAGTTTGGTCATGTGGTGGTATTAGGTAAAATAAGCTAAAACCAAACAGTGATGTCACAATAAGCATCTACATTTTATAGCATAAGCATAGAGCGATGTCTATGGGCCTGTTTTACAGTAAGCCATGGTACAAACTGCTAAATTCAACATGGTTTGTCAAATCTTAGATGAGTTGTACATCCATCATCTACCATACCTCAGCGACCCCACCGATCCCATAACCTGGTTGCGACCCTACCTATTTGTCACTCCGACTCAATTTGGGGTCGCGACCCCTGGTTTGGGAACCTCTGATCTAGATGCTGCCTGTTGCATTTCAAAGACCTGAACTTGTAATGAAAGTTTAGAGAATTCAACTGAAAATGTACCACAGAGTATGACCATTTAAAACTTCATACCAAATATGTAAAAGCAAAATTCATATTTATACAAATAAAGCTCAAGGTTCCTCAAAGTGTCTAGTACAGGGGTGGGCACAATTTTTTAGGATAGAGCCGCATGCTGCAAGTCAGAACTTTAAAAGAGCCGAAGATGATGATTTCATTTCCATGATTCGTTTCATGGTGCCGTTTAACATTGCTGGCTTTATTCTGACTTAGTAACTTATGGCAGATTAAGCACAAATGTTTATTCTCCTGACTGGTACATGCGTATTCCCTTCCCCATTCTGACTTGACAACTCTGTTTTTATCTCTGTACTTTCGTTTCTTAATTGACGACATATCGAACAGTAACATAGACTAACTAACCGCAATCAAGCTGCAATACCGCCGACGCATCAATAAACATTGCCCATTGTGACGAAAGATTTGCTGACTTAGATTCGAAATTCAACGCTACAGCAATTTTTATACTAAAACATAACTTGTCTTAATCATTGACGAAAAAATAGTTTACAATAATTTCTCTTAGTTAAAATTTCGATAATAATTTATGTTAGCAAGAAGAGCCGTACAAAAAGTCTCAAAAATTCGCATGCCGATCGCGAGCCGCGGTGTGCCCACCCCTGGTCTAGTATATTGCATGGTATAGGTATTGTGAGTTAGGAAGATATACAGGGGGTCCATAAAGTCCCTTCACAAGTTTAATTTTGTTAGCAAGTCAGTTCTCAATATATCTTAACCAGATTTTTTTTTTTCAGTTATTGTTTAGGTATTTTTACTTCTTCATTTAATACATCTGTGTGTGTGGTATTGATAAATCCCATCTAAAATTTTAAAAAATTTCAAGACTTCATGGACACCCTATCATACTATACTATGTTCAAAATAAATCCGCTTTTATCAAGTCATTTCAAAATCACACCAACACAGCTAATATTAAATCAAATTAATCAACACTACTGTTAAAAACAGTAAAAAGTATCTACAACTATAATAAAAACAGCTTTTAGAAGTCAAAATTTGTTTTTTTCTGTTTTTCAAAAATCTCCTATGTCTGTTTTAAGTATTATACCGATATTGTGCAGTCTTGTGAAAACAAGTTCTAATAAATAACAGCAGTCAAAGCTTCTTGCAACCAGCTAATCAATTCTTTAATTAGGCTATTTACGAAAATCAGTTAAAAGTTGTTAAAAAACACCTCTGTTATAATAATCAACCACCATAGTTACAGGTTAGGTTATATCCATTATTAATCTATCATAATCCATTTGGATAGCAAGCTAAGATGCATCGCAGTTATCAAATAAGCAAGGTCTCATACAGACACTGGATTAGTTGAGAGATTTTAAATTGCCCAACGGAAGCTTCGAACCTAAATATGATCATAATAATGATTTCAGGTGCAACCCGCGACACTGATTTGGAGTTACTATCAAAAGCCAACGTAGAAGGGAAAGTATTTTGCAAAATTCATTGAGTATGATAGCTTAGTGCAGGATGGTTTTCTTTATGGCAGGGCTACTCAACTGGCGGACCGCGGTCCGAATCTGGACCTTTCGAGTATTTGATTCGGACCGCACCTAATTCTTTATTTTGGATCATTAGCCCCACTTTTGAAGTTTCGTTTTATAAATCACTTTTATAGTTTTGAATATATAAAAAAAGAACTATACCGCCATAATAAACAATCTTGATAAGCTAATAACCATTAGCCAGCTGAGGAAGTGCGTGTTTATAGATGCCAAATGAAATTTTTGGAAAGACCAGACCCAAATAATTTTAAAGTTGTGTATGCGGATCTTCGGTAAAAATAGTTGAGTAGCCCTGGCTTAGTGAACAGTGCAACGATTCCTAACCGGGGGTTCTGAACTTTCAATTTGACAAGTTAGATCGTAATAGTTAGCGGGTTTGGCCGGAGGACGGAAATGTGGGTTCTCAAGAGTCGTGATGTTGATGGTCTAAAAACCGTTTCAAGATACAAAATTTTGGTATGTATTATACAGAAAAATGCTTTTATCAATTTTTAAAATAGGGCAGCGGGTTCCGACCCTCAGACCCCCTTGATATCGCCCTGACTCTATATCCCTGTTAAAAGTCTAGTGAATTAGAATCGGTGACATTCCTAGGTTTTTGTTAGTATGTGTTATTTGTTAACCACCGCATTTTCCAATCATCTTGCCTGTAGTTACTACTGTATAGCGTCACTTATGAAAGCTTTTATTTTTCCAAGCTGTTGTTGGAGATCACCGCCCTAATTGGTGTAAAGATTTAAATTAATAAAGAACTTCAAATGTGGAATGGGTCCTATGGCTACATGGTTAGAAGTTTTGACATAATTTTAGAGACGCCACCTTCATAAGAACTGGGGTTTAAGCCACACACTCACCACTTTAACCAGTATGTAATAAAATATGGTAAATGTGTTTATGTAGAGTTTCATTTAAAAAAAATAGTTCAGGAGTTATCCATAATCAGGACTGTGGAGTCGGGGAAAATCTACAAGCAATCATATTGAAAAAAGTACTCGAGCTTGTAAAAAATTTAACTTATCCTTGCAAAAAATTTCGACATGCAAATAATTTTGACTCTCGAGCTCGAAAAAATCAAATTCTAAAACAAAAACTGTGGCAAGCCTTCTTCGATAGAATGTTCAAATTGGTTGATTAAGTATTCAAGTTTCTGTAGAATATTTTGACTTCTTACGTCACTATTAAATTTATAAAAGGAAATTCTGAAATGCTGATTCTGACAAATTCTGAATTTTGATAAGACTTTAGAAACAAAATATGACACCAGCTCAGATTAAACCAACCCAACTTTTCCATCAAACAAAAGTAAAAATAAAACAAAAAAATTATTTCTTACCTCTGATTTTTCTAGCTTATCTTGTTCCATATATCTTGACACAATTTCATTCATATTCGTTTCTAAAACCATCCCACCCATTACTATTTCAGATAATATAAAGTGGACCTAGGTAAAAAAAGCGGTTTTCATTCAGGAGTTTTTTGATTTTCAACTTGCAATAGGCTATAAGTATTTAGATCAGTGCTCAGATTTGAGCCCATTATATTTTAGCTATTTACTATATTTTTAAACCATATTTAGAACACTAGTGAAAATTAATATGAATTTCGTTTCTTTGTGCAATGACAGATGTTAAAATAAAATAGGAACCAATATTATTCAAAAATTATTAACATTGTGATATGAAATACCTCGATACTTGTTAAAACAGTCTATAACCATAACTAATTACCGACATTTAGGGCCCAAAATTCTCCTTCAACTGAGACAATTGGCCATTACTGAAATAAATTTATTAAAGAATTGGAAATTGGAATCTCTAAATTGAATGAACTGTTTGAATATATTCAAAATTAGCTCATGGTATCACAATATTTATTTTTCTGATCGAGTATGTTCTTTCTAAGTAGGCACTGGCGTTTAGCGGAATCAAATAAACATCTATTTGATTATATCGCCAACAAAAATATTGAACTGAAAATAATATCTGATTGATTGTATTTGCTGACCTTATCCACATGAAAGATCAAGTCCAATTCACAAACATTTTCAAAACATCTGTCCAAAGTCTCCACAAAAACCTGAAATATAAAAATGGATTAAAGTCACAAAAAGTGAAGTTACGAAGAAGTTACATAAACTTCATTTCACTGACATGAACACATCAATCTTCTGCCACATTATTATTCTCAATACAATTTGAATCTGTGGGTTCAAAAGTGTCAGCCGCTCAATAATCGCCATCATTTTTTTTTCATGTTGACCTTCACCACCACGGATAGCCAATTTTATGTTTTCTTATCCCTTCTGTATTTAAAGTGCATATTTCAAGATTGTGAGAAAATGAACTAATTAGCCACTTAAACTTTGCTCATGGATTCATCTCCTTTATTTCTGAATAATGTGCTAATTTCAACGAAAAAATTGAATACAACAGCAAACGTTGACTCACCTGTATTAAATCTAATATTCCAAGTTCGCTTTCTGAGGAATCGACACAGAAGACAAAATATAACGTAGCGTAATGACGGTAGATCAATCGATAGTCTGAACCTCCGATAAGACTAAAAGAATAAATAATTAGATGATTTGCGTACATTAAATTAGGATGAGACACACATATTTATCTCGGGATAGAAAAGTTGATGAGTCTTAAGCATACGACAAACCACGGCCTCTCGTCCGGTTACCAGTTCATGTCGAGTATGGGAATAGTTAGTTATTTTCAGAAGCATGGACTTGATGGCGGAGGAAGCCGTAACCGACCAGCAGTTATGTGAACCACCCAACGGCGGCGAGGAGAGGCAGCAATCCTGCGCACAGAACTAACGCTGTATGGGATTCAAGCCTGCAAACCCACGCAGGCTAATCAGAGGTACGGTAGCGAGTATATTCCTAACGCTCAGCATGATGCACCACACTGCAGCGCCATGATCTGAGTTTGAATGTGATTTTCAGGCACTTTGGTTGTTCAGTTATAATATAGAAACACAGATGAATTATAGGTCATTGAGCCTACTCACCAGCAGCATACACAGATAATCTGCAGAATTGGTTCGACTCCAAGAACCCTATAAATTCATTGGCCAAAAAGTCAGTAAATCCTCAAAATACTTACGTCCCACCCTCCAAAAAACTGCACACGTTATCATCTCTCCTCGAAACAAGATGGAACGTTTCTCTGACTATTTGTTGCTGTTCATCTTCACTCTGAAGAATAGAAAGCATTTTTAAAAATTTCATGAGAAAGAAAAAATATGAGTTAGTGAATAGCTGAAACATGATGTGATATTTTATATTTATCCTGAGAGAGAGCTTTATCAAAATATTCAGATCTAGATCTGAAATATTAAAACAGTTAATCATGTCATATACATGAAAAGGAATCGGTATAGGAAGTCTTAACCCCCAGACTGGATTCCATGGCAGGTGTATGCAGATTTTACGCGGATGTGTTGAATAGTATCTAAAGTCAAAGTCAGTTGCATGCTGGCCAGTCGTTTTGCACGCGGAAAATTCCGATTGCACGCCCGATTTCTCGTACAACAAAGGCCATGTAACCTAGGCCGGCTTAATCCTGTAACCAACCATCAGTTATGCGTACCACTTACGGTCTTATTTACATAATTATCGCCCAAAGGATTTTAAGCAATGGTAAATGGGCCTATGTCAAACTGTTTTCAAAATGTGAACAAGAAATGTCTGAATGCAGAAAGCGAGCCCATGCATCTGAATCAAAATATTTGGCTACATACTCTAATACCCAACATGGACAGGTAAATGGGCCAGGGACCTTGGTATGCCATATGATTAGAGCATCTTATCAGTTTTCCTCTCCCTTGGGACGGAAATGAAATCTTTTTTTTTTCAATACCTCAGTCAGTCACGTCAGTTATGGCAGTACGGTATGGTAACCAGAGTACGTAATTCTGTAATTCGGAACTACAGAACTAAGGAAACATTTAGTTGGAACCATGTTAAATAAAGACTGAAATAAAAATAGTCTACACCAGGTCCTATCCTAATTATGGAATATTTAACTTACATAGTGCTGAAAGAATTTCGCCAATCTTGGTTTCCCGTGATTGTTAAAAACCAAAATTGCTTTTATCATCTCTGCCTCTTCTGTTGCAAACCCTCAATACAGCAATATAATAATCACGATCACACAATATAAAGAACTGAACAGTCGAAACATCGATTGAAAATACAGGAATGTACCGTATGTTTGAGGTACGCTACGACAGTACGAGAAATATTGATTTTTCACAACTCTTCGATCTGTCGATTAAAAGGTTTGTGTGAGTTGGAAATTTTGCGTAGGCAGGTGGTCGGAGTCGATACTTACCGGATTTGAGATATGAATTAATAAGTCGTTGAATTTTTATATTTATCCCGGGGGATAGGAAAGTTGATAAGACGGCTTAACCATATGGCGAACCACGGCATCTCGTCCGGTTACCATTCCAAGTCGGGTATGGGATCAGTTAGTTATTTGTTTCCGGAAGCATGGACTTGATGGTAGAGGAAGCCGTAACCGACCAGCGGTTATGTGACCACCCAACCACCCCATTTCTAAGAAAGATAGAATTTTTACAGTCACTGAAACTTACAGGATTCCGGTTTTATCGGATCTGATTCCGCATCATCTAATTATAATTAAATTTTGCATAGGCAGGTGTTCGGAGTCGATACTTACCGGATTTCTATAAAAGATAGAGTTTTTACAGTCACTGAAACTTACAGGATTTGGGTTTAATCGGATCCTATTCCTCCTCATTTGAATATAATTTCATTAAGAGAAAGAAAGATTCAATAGTTCGTTGATCCAAATAAAATAGTCATACCAATAATAAAAAAGCAACAAGAACAATTGTAACGCACGGATTGCAGTCGAACCACTGTCAAGTACCACTGCAAGCTCGTAACATTCAGTACCCACTGACAGTTTAACTCTTGAATCTCAACACTTCAGACGATCACAAGAACTGAAACAATACGACAGAGTGAGTGTGACTCTCAAATACACACAGAGTTTAAGTGTGTCAATCAGACTAAACTGAGTTTGATTTCAAATATTGATATATTCCGGGATTAAATAACTAAATGAAATACAAAGTAATTTAATAAATATTAACACACAAATAAATCCCAGCCTAAGGTATGTCCTAACCCATCGATTCCCTTACTAAAAATAGCAGAAATCTAAAGACTCAGGGGGGCTGGGGGTGTTACCATACTTCGGCTGTATCTAAGTAAGGCATTTAGTTTCCATTCTCGAGTGTGCGATGCAAGCAACTAATGACATGCTGAACAAATTTATTACCTTCGCAACCAACAAAGACCAATCGATTCCAAATGCCTGAAGATGGCGACACATAAGTCCGAGTCGTGTGAGGTCGCGTCGGCACGCTGACAACATTTGATTTGTATTTTTTTTATTGTAAACTGAGCTTTCGGACGACACGCAAATCAGCCTTATAACACGCATCAGAGTCCTAATAAGATCAACCCCGCACGATTTGTTGTATCTGTAAAGAGTGTGCCAAAAATGGACTCAAAAACTTTCTGGAATACGACTTTTCTGTTAGACAAACTCAACAACTTAAAAACAAATTCTTGCCGAGTACGCTGCCAACACAAAAATTAATAACGAACATAAAAATGCCTATTTTCGATTTAAGAAAAGATCATATTACTCATAATAAACTGTATTGCCGGTGACATGAGACCCCGACTAATGTAAAATATCTAATGTAAGATTTTACCATATATGAAAACAGACTGTAATCCAGCCGCACAAATAGCAGCCAAGTGTGGGCGATTGGGAATAGGTATTTTATATTTATCCGGGGGAGAAGAAAAGCCAATAAGAAGGATAATTTATATGGTGAACCACGACCTTTCGTCAGATCCATGTCGTGTCTGGTCGACCAGCCATTCGCTTCAGATGCATGGACTTCGATGGCGAAGAAAGCCTTAACCGACCAGTCGTCCCGCGAACCACCCTACGCGACGAGGTGCCCAGCAATCCTCTCGCACACAATTATTCTCCACGGTAAATAAAAATATGTTGCAAAACGGCTTAGCGAATTTTGCATTATCGGTGATTCAGGCCCTCAGTTTGGTGGTTTGAACTGTTACCATGCTGCAGCTCCCGCCTGCCGAAGTCGTCGATTTTTTTGGAGTGAAGAACATGGTTCCATATCTATCTGTGCCCCAGAATATTAAGTCCAAAGAAGCTTCTCATGATAATACTCAATACAATTGTATCTATTCAACAAGCGTCACAATTTTTTCTAGGGTTGCATTGTATCTGGACTAAAATTAAGTGTTTTCGCGGGTTCATGCATATTTACTGTTTACGTCAAGATGAATGATATTAAAATTAGTAAACTTTTATTCCATTTCACATATTCAATGTTTAGAGCTCGTATTGATTAATGTCATAGTTAAGGTTTTGCTATCGTGGTTGTAAAAATGTCAGAAGACCGGACGGTTCTGGATTGGTTGGTCATTGTACGGCAATTCCACAATTTAACACTGAAAACAGCCACAATATATAGAACACAACAAAACGCAGTCGATTTGCAGCCGTTCCCAACTGCCTAACTTATGGGCTGCGAAATAAGCATGTATACTGTATAAAGATATAAAAAAAAAAATGGGAAATCAACAAAAACACGGATATTTCTCATTGTTTATATATTTTTTGTTTAGTTTTTGATGTTGTGAATTGCATATGCATTAGTGTTTAAACTCCAAGCCTCAGTTGCGGCCGATAGTCAGATTCTTCAGTCAGCGTTCTTTTTGGTTGGACTGTCGTAGAGTAAGCATCGTATTTTGTCGCTCTGGTATTATCTGCTTTTACCGCGTGTTTTACGCTGTATCATAAAGTCTCTTCCGTTTGCATCGTGAACTTCGAATCTATTTGTGTGACTTGTGTGCAGCACACAGGATCTTCGGAACTAATTATTAGTAGCGAGTACATATTTCAGTGAAGACGCACCGCTGCAGAGTCATCGGACGTTGTTGTGCAGCCGCAGATCGTCATATATGCTTTCATTCTTTTGATGGTAAACGGAACTGTCGATGGCCTAATCTCTGTGCCGCTACCGGTACCTGAATGACAAGATTCATCACTTATTTACACTCTTGAGTGGAAGTTCAAGCTCACAACGTCTCTTGGTGTGAGACATAGTGAAATGACAGCAACTTTCTACCCAGTGACCTTTGAAGAAAACACACAACACCTTACTGCGCTTTTGTTATTTTTGGTGGTCTATCTGTAGCCACTGAAACTAATTGAGAAGTGTTTATTCATTTTGTTCTTAAGCTATCACAAACGGATTTACAGATGTCTTCCCACTGCGTGTCTGTCTACCTGGATCATTCCTTCTTTTGGCCCAGCACATTTAACATACCTACAAAATAGGTATATTTGTTTAACATCACTAATAAAACCCGCTACGAAGCTAGCACCATTACTTGAAGTGGTAGAATTTATTCACTACTCAGTTTTGATCTGACCAAATTTCTGCAGTTCCGAAATCACTCGCCTGAGCCCATCTCCATTAGAATGGGGCTTTCAACGTTTGTGCTTCCAAATTTTTCATTACATGGCAAAGACGCCGTAAAACCAGTACTTATGTCTAAGAAGAAGCCAAATGAAATGCGAATGACGCAATAATACAGTCTATGACAACAGGAAAACAACTTAGAAAAAGCCGCATGTTGCTGTTTGCTGGTCTAATCCACTGTTGCAAAATTCACACTTGAGTTTAAGCAACAGGTTATTGAGTTTATTATATTTAAAACCGGTTCTCACCCGTTGTTGCCTAAATAAGAAGCCGTTTCGGGCGATCCTATACGATACGTCTTTTTTGGGGTTACTAAAATGTTTTATATTATGGCGATCAATAAGAAGAACGTGTTCCTAACCGATGTTAGTTGGAGAACATTCTTCTCTGTCGCTCAAGAGTCTCTGATAAATAGTTGAAAGGCTGGCAGAATTTTAACAGGGCCAGAGGCTTTTACAGCACTATATGTTTAAATCCTTTTAGCCCTGATTCTGAAACGTGGATGGAATGGAAATTGGGTTGTTAAATATTAACCCCGGAGTTAATCAGACATATTTTGCTACCAAGACAATTGTGTGGAATTAACAAGAGAGACCACTTAATTGAAACGTTCAGCCTGGCAAGCAACTATCTTAGTGTTTAAACAAGGAGCACCTGTTCCACCTTTGTTTGCCGTTTTAGAGGATTTGCCTGTCTAAAACTTCCATAGGCTCAGAGATCCAGAGTAAGGAAAAGATCTTACGGTCGATATATTTAATAACGTGAGGTGGTATTTCTACCGACCTCGCGACAAGACCAAGGTATTAGTCATAGTCAAGTTTATTTTTTCCCATTCAGTAAAAAATAACATACGAAATTAACAAAATACAAAACTGAAAACACCTTTTTACTGGGGAAGGGAAGTCGCGGGGAACCGGGAATGGTTATCGAGCAGCGACACTCGAGGTTCAATATCTAACTTTATTTTTTAAGGAAATACGTTTTTAGATTAATTTTAATATAAATGAGCATGGCTTTGGCAGCTGAACCACATATAACATCCAAAAGACATGAAAGTTATATGAGACGACCACAAATAGTACATGGCAACATCTCTAATCGAACCCATCAGAATCAGATGACTTATGGGGATTCCCCGATTGAAAGGCACTGAAGTGTGTAAATTGATTGAGGTATACTAGTTGCTACGGTAACAATTCAAATCGGTCGAGCAGAGCAGTTCAGGCCAGGCATTGATAAACACATGATGAGGTGATAAAGAAGACAGGTAATATAATTCTAATAATAATATAAATAGAATAACCAAATCTATGATGTACCAAGTTAGACGAAGTGCCGTACCTGTACGGTACTACAGTATTAATAACCAAGATCCTGCCATACCAAGACAGACCTGTCCCATTTATAACTTGTTCTATTGGATCTCCGCTCTATAGGAGACCCTTATTATCAGTCGTTCTCTCTGTCTGTTTAGATGTAGCGTCTTAATGGCTGGACCAATCTGGATGAAATTTTTCACATGGGTTATCCGTCACCCTGGTGATGTGCGTTTTATAGAAAGTCCAGATAAATGTTTCGTTTCCATGGTAACAACGAAAAACGCTCCGATCGTTATGAAATTTCTATTTTTTTCACAGTTTATCGCCGTTTTCTCGCCAACCAAGTCGAAAATTAAAATTCCAAGAGCGCTTCCTTCCGCATGGCAAAGTACTCTT